TACCGGGGCCCACTGGAAGCTTCCTGGGACTAGACGCAGGCAGGCCACTTCGATATAGCAAAGGGCATGCCTCCTCATTCGGCATTTGGGTGCTGGCTGCATGATGCGCAAGCGCTGCTGTGCTATTTGCTTGCTGGCGCCTACGCTCTCACGGGCGAGTAGGGAAGGAGCACGCAGCCATAGCCGAGCTGCGCTGCTGTACGCTGGGTGAGGCGCAGGGTGGTCCTTGGGTGCAAGTGGCATCTGTGTGTTGGGGAACGAGGTTGTGAGTGTAGCGAGAGACATACCTGGTGATGGAAGCGTGCGACATTGGTCGCTGTATGCTCGTACTTTGGGGGAGCTGTTGTCGTCAACTTTTGCATTGTAGTATAGGCTAGATAGGATCTGCCACAAGTAGTCTGGGCGCCGAGCGCCAGATAGGATATCAACTCTGGTTCTTCGTTGATGATGATGATGGGTCTATTTCAGCATTGTCAATTATGAACTTTTGGTGTGTTCTATTTGGTGAATCTCGTGATGCAGTTCTGCTGTTGGTTTGGGGTCAAGACTATCTGGACTCATATGCATGATGCTGTTTGATTGCTGAAGTTCGCTATTGCTCATCTTCCTTGCAATTTGGTATCGAAGCTGTGGTACGTTTGCACTCATCTGCCGCTTGTCTTCTGCCTTACGCGGTACATACATGCGGTCTGCTTGGCGAGTTTGGCCGTAAGTAGTGTGTAGCCAGGAGGGTGGAGACGAGTGAAGTGGCGACCCAGGAGGTGAGGGGATCGCTAGGAAGGCTACGTGGGTGTAATGTGGTCTGGACAGTGTAATGCTGAGGTGGAACGGTGAGATAATGCTGGTTGTGCCGATGCAGTGACTGGTCATCGCAATCGCCATCAGGTCATCTGGTGAGATTATCTCTGTGGTTGGGGGCAGCTATTTGAGGTATGTTGCTCTTAACCTTATCTACCCTCTCCGACACTTCTTACCGTGAGGTTGTGTGTTCCTTCTTGAGAGTCCTCTCCTTGTGAGGTGTCGAGTGCGCTCAACCTTGAGAGTCGACAATGTTCACATGGAGCATCTGGGAGAAGATGGGCGGAGCTTTCTGAAGGGCCCTGGACGAAGCAATGGGTCACGGTCACCATGCCAACCCATCGGGAGTAGAGTACGCATGCTTTGCTGCTTGTCCTTTGTTCGGCTTGCTGCGCTGTTAGATGGGTACTGCAGGGCAGGCCAGCCCTTAAGGGAGACCAGACCGGACGTCTTTAAATAAGCACCGGAAGGGGAACCATTGGCTGTGATAGTCGTCCGGCTGCGACGTAAAAGAATTCCTGGAGTCACTTGGGGGCGGACGTTAAATTGCCTCTGGATCAGCCAATGGTTGTAAGGCTCGCTGCACGCGATGATAATCCAGTGCAGGGCTGGCCAGCTCAGCAGATACTCGGGGCACAAGGGTGGGCCGGACACACACCTTTAGACACGCGACGCTCTCCAGATTGCTTAGGGATGCTGACGTCAAGTGATACTTAGGGGAACTAAGGGAGGGATAAATTCCAGGTGATAAGTTCGAGAAAATTCCATGCTGTCCTATCCACACAAATGATTCTATTTTTATGTTTTGATTAGTTAGGTGTACAGCCATTGACATCTGACAGACAACATTAGTTAGAACTGTTTCTTGTTCATGGTGCTTCTGTTTGTGGACTATTCAAACTAAAAAATAGTTTCGTTTGTAGGAATCTGACTTACATGTTGACCTCGAGTGATATCTGTTCCGAAATAGCAACCAATTACTTAGTTGGTCTGTGCACTATGCTGCGGTAGGCATCCAGTGTGCATTAGTGCAGATTGTGTACAATGCTGTAGCTTATGAGCGATAGGGAGGAACAACAACCGGACGACCAGATCTTGCGATCGGCAAGGCGCCCAGTAGCCCACTTGGCATTAGGACCAGAGGACGACATACATCTGTTCCGCCAGCTTAGGGAGAGGCAGCAGCAGCAGAGGCTAGCAGGGCACTTGTGAGTGAAGCTGCAGCTTCAGAAGCCATGGCCACCTCAGCACAACAGTCTACTCAGGCCGGTAGTTCAAGGTATGTTGGGTCAAAGGTCGCTCAGACCCAGAGTCAGTCCACTGGCGTAATGGCGAGCTAGCCATTAGTGTTGACCACCAAGGAGATCGCCATACAGGAGGAGGCTCTGCAAGAGGCACAGCTACAGCATGCACTAGGACAGATAAAAGCGGAGAAAGAAAGAATGATTAGAAGAAGAGCCAGGATGCAGCGGAGACAAGAGGACGTAAGTGAGTTAGAGGAGATGGACCTGACGCTCATGACCGATGATGTGAGGATCATATGGTCTGTCCTGCTAAATGTAGTTGAGATGCAGGACCATCAGACGACCATTTTTTAGGACATCCAGCAAAGTCTGGCCCTGTTGGCTGGTCGTGCGCAGGCAACATCGCCAATGTCCGGGCCTGGTGCCTGGCCCGTTGTACATCCTCCTCCTTATGTCCCACCGGTGACTGGGGTATCCCCATATATAGCTCCATCATCGGTAGCGATCGTTTCCCTGGGCATGCCGCTTTCAGGAGGGGTATCAGCAGGGACTAGTTTACAGGTTCCTGTACAGACAGTGTACACCCAATCTCCGTTGCAGGTTGCGGTCACCACGCAGCCTGCTGTCTCGCAGCCTGTGCAGCCGCAGGGCACACAGCCCCAACAGCTAGCACAACAACCTGTGTGACCGGGTCCACAGCCCGGAGTGATGCAAGGACCGGGACAAACACAGTGGGTTCCAAAGACGACCATCGCCGCTTCGAAACCCTTCACAGGGGACAAGAGAGGCGAAGACCTCGACACATGGTTGAGGTCAGTGCCAGTCTATGTTAGGTGTAAACTTACCTAGCCGCACGAAGAAGTGCTTGTGGCTGCCTCCTACCTAGAGGGTAGTGCAGCAAGATGGTTGAGCGGTTTAGTGCAGCTCCAGGGGTATGGTCATGACTTCCGCGCTTGGGCGGTCACCCAGAAATTGGAGGACTTCCTGAAGATGGTGGAGGAAAGGTGGCACGATCCTCAGGAGGCCCAAAGGGCCACTGACGCGATCCTGACACTGCACACTCGGCAGTTTAAGTCAGTAAGGGAAGCCACCGATGTTGTTGAGCGTCTGATCTGTGTCCTAGGGGTGCGCTATGACCCCCAGGTGTTACGTACCTCGTACCTGAGATGCTTCTCTTTGCCTCTCAGGAACCAGTTGGCAAGTCAGGCCAACATCAATATGCACAACTTTCCTTCGTTTAGCAAGATGGCCCTAGACCTTGAGGCGAAGATAGGGCATGGACAGGCACCCACTACGGATGGTAGGAAGAAGACACTGCCTCCCAACTGGAAGGCGAAGGGCCGCTTAATGTTTGTCGATAACGATGGTTCTACTATCGAAGTAGACGAACACTTCCAGGAAGGAGTAGGTTCAGAGGCGGGCAGCGTAAAAGCTTCAGAGGGTGAAGTAGTCGCTGCCGTAGCTCAGAAAGGTAAGGCGACCGGTAGACGCCGCGGAGGATCCCGGTCAAGGAGTCAAGTAGACCCCAACTCTCCCCCATGGGAGAAGGCGGGTCTCACTGAGGACGTGTGGAGAGATCGGTACTCACGGCAGGCCTGTATTCGTTGTGGTCAATATGGCCATAGCCAGTACAAGTGCCACAACAAGAAGGTAACTGAAAAGATCCCACCTATGATGGGGCAGGTGTTGGGATCCTCTCACCCCGTCGGTAGCAATGTTGCCAGTACTTCAGGCAGTGCTCCGGGAAACACATCGGGCCAGTAGGAATAGTAGTTGTTCCTGCTAGGGTCGAGGTGGTGGAGACACCCTCACCATCTCGAGAGATGGCCCAAGCTACTGACTCCAGCGTCGTCCTGCAAACACGTTCAGACCGATCGAGCCTCTGTTCGATGAATGTGTTTGAGTCCTTAGAGGAGCTAGAGGTGAAGTGGTCTAGATCAGACCCCCTAGCTTCTTGGACGACCTTAGTCAAAGCCCCTAAGGGTGAGATGTTCGTCAGTGAGGTTGTCATTGGCGGCCGCAAGGCCGGGGCCTATTATGACACTTGCTCGACTAGGAACTTTATCAGTCGCGCGTGCGTTGAGAGGCTGCGTTTACAGGGGCGAGTGCAGCGCCTGAGTCGACCTGTGAAGTCGACCTGTACCAACAAACAGCGCATGGTAGTCAACGACTACCTCCAGGATGTAGAGTGTTGTTTCCCGTACGCGGGAGGGGAATTGAGACATCGCGTCTCGTTCCTAGTGAGTGACGAGCTCCCAATGGATATGTTACTAGGAATGTACTACCTCTCTGTGGCTCAGCCCCAGTTTGATTGGGACCGAAAAGTGGTCAAACACACTTCGCCAGTCGGAGGGACCGCCAATTACATAAGTTCAAAGCTAGTAGTCTGATTGAGTCCTATGGGTGCATGTGTGCGGCCGTGTTCTACAATTATTATAAGCAAAATCAGGAGGAGGGTATGTACTTAGTTTATGTCTCTGCTGCAGGCGAGCCGGTGAAAATGCCGCCGGAGATAGAGGGAGTAGTTGCTAAGTACCCTGATCTATTTGAAGAGCCGACAGAGGTTGTAGTCAGGGAGGTCGTCCACTCGATAGAGATTATCCCAGGGTCTAGTATCCTGAAGGGTAGGATCTATCGGATGTCTCCAGGCGAGTTCGATGAGCTTCGTCGACAACTCAAGGAACTCGTAGAGAAGGGTTGGATCCGACCGAGTGTCTCTCCTTATGGATCTCCAGTACTATTCGTACCTAAGAAGAAAGAGGGTACACTTAGGATGTGCATTGATTATAGGGGCCTCAATGCCATCACTGTTAAGAACAGAGAGCCCCTACCGCGCATCAACGATTTGTTAGATAGAGTGCAAGGGTGTCGGTACTTCAGTAAGATAGATCTGAAGTCCGGGTACCATCAGATTGCAATCCGGCCCGAGGATCAACACAAAACCACTTTTTAGACCAGGTACGGTCTGTACGAGTTTGTGGTGATGCCTTTCGGCCTTTGCAATGCGCCTGGCACCTTTCAGCACGCTATGAATTGGATATTCCATGACTACTTGGATAAGTTTGTCATCGTGTACCTCGATGACATACTTATTTTTAGTAAGACTGTCAAGGAGCATGTTGCACATTTGGACAAAGTCCTCAGCCTCTTGCGACAGCACAAGTTCAAGATCAACGGTGAGAAGTGCGAGTTTGGCCGCACCCGTGTCTTGTACTTGGGTCATGAGATATCCGCGGAAGGGTTAAAGCCCGATGACGCGAAGGTGGCCAGCATTCGTGATTGGCCACGTCCTCAGTCTGTGACCGAGATGAGATCTTTCTTAGGAATGACAGACTACTATAGGACTTTTGTTAAGAACTATAGCATAGTGGCCGCTCCTTTGACTGATCTGACTTGCCTTGACACCCCATGGGAGTGGACAGATGAGTGCGAGGCTGCTTTCAGACATCTGAAGCATGCGTTGACGCACTACGAGGTCTTGAAACTTCCTGATCCTGATAAGCCGTTTATAGTCACCACGGATGCCAGCCAATATGGCATTGGCGCCGTGCTGGCGCAGCAGGAGGGGCCAAAGTTGAGGCCTGTAGAGTACATGTCCAAGAAAATGCTGTCTCAAAAGTTGGCTAAGTCCACCTATGAGAAGGAACTATATGCGGTTTACAAGGCTCTGACCCATTGGAGGCACTATCTCCTTGGGAGGTTTTTCATCCTCAGGACTGATCATCAGATTCTGAGATGGATGAGAACTCAGTCGGTACTCTCTGACGCTCTCAAGCGTTGGATCGAAGTCATTGAGCAGTATGACTTTGACCCTCAGTATCTTAAAGGGGAGTGCAACAAGGTTGCTGATGCCTTGTCGCGTAGACCTGATACCTCAGGTGCGCTGATTACTAAGTTAGATCTGACGGGCAGTGTTACTCAGTCTTTGGTGGAAGCCTATCACGAGGACCAGTTCATGTTTGAGATCATACACAGACTTGAGGCGAAGGACAAGAAGACTTCTGCCGAGTTTGAGTTGATCAATGGCTTGCTGTTTCTTGAGAAGGAAGGGAATAAACGATTGTGTGTCCCGAATAGCGAGTCTTTGAGTAGTTTGTTTTTAGGTGAGTGCCATGATGCCACCGACCATTTTGGGTATAAGAAGACCGCAACCAATCTGCTGCAGCGGTTCTGGTGGCCCACGATGATGCGAGATGCTCAGTTGTACGTGGAGACTTGTCAAGTCTGTCAGAGAGACGAGCCACGTACGCAGGCTTCTCTTGGGCTCCTGAAGCCCCTTCCGATTCCGGAACGGCCTAGTGAGAGTCTGTCCATGGACTTCATGGATACCCTGGTCACCAGCAAGAGTGGGATGCGACATATCTTCATCACCGTGGATAGGTTTAGTAAGTATGCTAGGTTAGTAGCAATGTCGGAAACAACAAAGATGGAGTATGTGATCAGGATGTTCAAAGAGAACTGGGTCAGGGACTTCGGTTTACCGAAGTCTATTATCAATGACAGGGATGTCCGGTTTACCAGCGAGTTGTGGAAGGCCGCTGCTGCAGAGCAGGGAACTCAGTTGCAAATGACTTCTGGGAATCACCCAGAGGCCAACGGACAGGCCGAGCAACTGAACCGCGCTGTTCAACACCTGTCGAGGCATTACATCAAGCCCAACCAGGTGGACTGGGATGAGAAGCTTGCTCTCATCGCCAGTTTGTACAACAACGCTGTACACAACGCCACCGGGGTGAGCCCAAACAGCTTACTGCTAACGTTCAAGCCTAGACTGCCCCTAGACTTTCTTCTTCCTGAGAATCAGTCCACTGCTGCACTAGGTACCTTAGAAGTTGCTTATCGGTATGAACAGAAGATGCAGCAGGTTGTAGAACAGATGCAGAAGGCACAGGCTGCAATGATAGAGTCTGAAAATAGACATCGCCGTCCTTCTACGTTTTAGGTTCGGGACAGGGTCTGGGTTAAGTCTTCAGAACTGGGACAGGAGCACGGGATCTCCCGCAAACTCATGCCCCAGGACTTTGGACCCTGGGAAGTCTTGGACATCGTTGGGACAGATCCGGATGGGCCATCTTATGTTATCCGGACCCCTGGTCATCTCCGAACTTACCCTGTCTTTCACGCCTCCAAGCTTGCACCTTTGAAGGAAACAGACGAGTTTCCTTCTCGTCGCTCAATGCTGCCCCCAACCATGGATGGAGAAGTGGACATTGATGACATCGTGGATCACAGGGAGCTGCCAGTTCAGAGACCTGCAGGCAGGGGACGTCCTCCGAAACCGAAGCTGCAGTACCGCGTTCGGTTCCGACATCATACTGATCCGAAGGAGGACCGCTGGTTCACGAGAGAAGAACTCATGCAGACCGCTCCTCAAGTTGTAGCTCATTGTGAGAAATCTCTGTAGAAAGGAAAGCGCCCTATGATTGAAGATTGAGCTTCTCAGAGGACTGTTGAAGCTAAGGAGGAGGGAATGCGAGGCCAATGCCTCGATGAGCCCCATTCAGCCCCCATTTTGAAGCCAGTAGGCCGCCCTAAGTGAAGGCAGGCTCGACGAGGCCCTCAGGGCCCTATTTCGGTCACTGCGCAACCAATGAAATTCAGGCAGTTGCGCAGCGCCAGTTGGTTGAGAGAACCCAGGCCCCGGGCCGCCTGTGTCAATGTATGGAAAGCAGGCCCTGGGCTGGATACGGGTACTGGGCCGAACACAGGCCAAGGCAGTTGGGCGCATGCAACCACCTCAGGCCCAAGGCCTGTTCTCGAACGTGCTGGGGCTCAGGCTACCGGGGCCTACTGGAAGCTTCCTGGGACTGGACGTAGGCAGGCCACTTCGATATAGCAAAGGGCCTGTCTCCTCATTCGGCATTCGGGTGCTGGCTGCATGCTGCGCAAGCGCTGCTGCGCTATTTGCTTTCTGGCGCCTACGCTCTCACGGGCGAGCAGGGAAGGAGCACGCAGCCATAGCCGAGCTGCGCTGCTGTACGCTGGGTGAGGCGCAGGGTGGTCCTTGGGTGCAAGTGGCATATGTGTGTTGGGGAACGAGGTTGTGAGTGTAGCGAGAGACGTACCTGGTGCTGGAAGCGTGCGACATTGGTCGCTGGGTCGCTGTATGCTCGTACTTTGGGGGAGCTGTTGTCGTCAACTTCGGCATTGTAGTATAGGCTAGATAGGATCTGCCAGATAGGATATCGACTCTGGTTCTTCGTTGATGATGATGATGGGTCTATTTCAGCATTGTCAATTATGAACTCTTGGTGTGTTCTATTTGGTGAATCTCGTGATGCCTTTCTGCTGTTGGTTCGGGGTCAAGACTATCTGGACTCATATGTATGATGCTGTTTGATTGCTGAAGTTCGCTATTGCTCATCTTCCTTGCAATATAGATAAAAATTCATAAAATGCTGTTTGTATGCCGAGCGCAGAAAAGGTTAGAAGAAGTATACAGGCTGGGCAATACTAGTTTCTGCAGGCAAAACCAGGCGGTAACAGATATAGGTTAGTAGCAAAAACTTCCTTTGAATCCCTGTTCCCGTACCCAAACCGTTCAGAAAACACAGCAATGGTCACTGCTTACACAATCCCCGCAAACCGCACTGATAGCGGAAAAGTTCAAAAACCGCAGAGAAATCAGATGCTGGAATTAATTTTCAGAATTAGCAGATGTTGCAGATTTGCAGACTGCTGGCTACACGATCTGTACCACTAACATTTTGACAGTGGGCTGACGCATCAGACTGACAACAGACTGGCAACGGGGACTGTTCTGACACGGACAGATAGACGGTTTGGATTGACTGCATGGACTGGACTGACAACGCAGTCTGTTACTACAGACTGAGACTGACAGGACTGACAGACAGATCCCGTAATTATCACGTTTTGCAGGTCAAAACACGGTAGCAAGGTCAGACTCGACAGTCAAACTGACTGACTGATGCACAGCAGACTGACAATTACTAACTACCCTTTCATGGACTGTGGACTGACAGACTGACAGATTGACTGACTGACAGACTGACATCAGGGAAACAGGTCGCCGGATGAACTCGTGTGATGCAACTCTTGATTGGAGGTTTGCCGCCGGTCAATTCTGACCGTAATTCCATTGGCCCGCTGACATTTACCAGTCAGCGCTCTTACGGATCCTCGCTGAAACTTCCAATCAGCAGTGCTGCTCCCTGTCGAATACCGTCTGCAAAATATTTATTCCTACTTGGAAACTATAAGTCCAGTGGCCTGCGCAGAATTTGAGGGTCACTGCCTCAATCGGACCAATTAGGGTTGACACTTCTGATTGGCCAAGCCACCTGGCCGCCGTTTACAGTCGCTGTTCCAAAATTTCTCCACATTTTTTTTTTCGCACTTATACACTCCTCTGCGTATCACCCAATTGCGGCATCCCACCGCCTTTTCGCCTTTGAAAACAGATCTCTTGTTCCACTTTCCAACCGCTGACCCAAGATGAAGTGGCCACCAAGTCAACCCCCAGGTGGCTGTGGTCCAGCTCCGATACCAACTGTTATGTGCTCGATTGTTTCATGATCGAAAACCACATTCTAATGTTCCCATATACATCTGCAACGACAGGCAGACTGGAGAGAGCCGATTCACACCATAGCCATGGAGAGATGTTGCACAGTGGAAGCCAAAACCAGATACAAAAATTGAGAGAAAAAATCATTTAAAAAATTAAAAATGAAAAATGTTTTCCATCAATTTTGTGCTCTCCTCCATCAACAATGGAGTACGACCCCAGGATCTCAACCATGAATTATTTTCCACCCTCTATTAACCCCCAACAAACTTCAACGAATTGTTCATTTAAACTCCTCCTTCCTCCAGCAACCCGTACGCACAAGTATGGCACACTAATCTACTAGTGCCCCAATCCCCACGTGTCTGTAGCTGCAGGCGCTGATCCCATGTAGGTCAGATACCCAATCAGCAGCGCCAAACGAAGAAGATGAACTTCGGTAAAGAAGAAGATGACTGCTGTGATATGGCAGTTTGAGACAGACAACGGCTCCTTTCGAACCTCCCAAACAGCAGCAGTAGCGGTGATGGCACACAGCTCACTGATAAGCCCGCAATCAGTGGCTGTTCCTCGTGGTGCCACGGCGCCCCAGCCATGGCTACCACCCGCAAGATGACGAGCGCTAATTTTAGCACTGCTGCAGTCGCCAGCCCGCTCCCTCCAGCCTTCCCAAAAAAAAGAACGGCCAAATAAAACCTGTTCGAAGTCGGCCTCTGACTACTTCTATCAGACATCCTAGACCTAGCACACAGCAACTCCCTACGGACTTCTCTGACCGTCCAAGCCGCACATATCTACGGTCTATCTACCTACACGCATCTAGACAGTATACAGACCAAAGGGAATTTAACAAAAGAAAAGGCCTACACGCCTACCCGTTTCCAGAAGTGCAGAAAAGGACAAGAACGACCTAAGCTACGTTAGCACAGGTCGTGGGATCAACTCAAAACAGCAGCACCGCATTTTTCCTTTCTTTTCTTTTTTTTGGTCTTTTTTTTTTGTGTGTTTGTTATGTGGTCATGCAGTTAAGGGCCATTGAGCCCTCAGCTAGGATACAGCCCACTGAAACTGCAATTCACTGCACCCCTCCCTCTGCAAACCCTTGCTTGCTCCCTCCTTCTCCCTTGCTCTGTCAGTCCGTTGTTCCCCTCGCTCCATCACTCCCTCACTCACTCCCTCGCTCTCTCCCTCTCTCACGCTCTTGCCCCCTCCCTCCCTCCGTCCCTCTCTCCCTTGGTTACTCCGTCTCCCTTTGATCCCGCCTCACACCCTCCCTTGTACCCTCCACCGTTCCCCCTCCTTCCCTCTATTGCTCCCTTGCTCACTTCCTCCTCTGTTTCCTCTCCTGCTCTTTCCTCCCTCTGTCACTCTCTCCCTCATTTCCTATCTTGCTCCCTCCCTCCCTCCCTGCCTTACCATGTCCCTTCTTCTTTCCCTCTCTCACTCCCCCACTTCCGTCCCTCCTGTACTCCCTCGCTCCCTTCTTCAGTTCCTTGTGTGTCCTTGCTCCCTTGTTCCCTCACCTTCAAGTTTCCTTCCTTCCCTCCCTCCTCCCTCTCTTTCCTTCTTTCAGATACTATCAGTGGGAAAGAGGCGAACTTACTCCAATAACTGGAAAACATGACACCCTTTTTTGCCCCTTGCCAGTGTTCTTTTGCAGCACATTTACCTTTGAGTTGCCTGGCCCAGTGGCCCCAGTCTGTGCTGGTCATGGGATTGCAGGTTGTGAATGTGATATGCTGCTAGGATGAGAGAAATGTGGACTATGAGCCGATATAGTGGAGCTTCTAGGCGGTAACAGCTCAGTACAGCAAGGATGTGACGAGTGATTGCAGAAGGAAGAGGAAGAAAAAGCAAAGACAGCATGGACCAGTGACATTATCCCTACCATCTTGCAGCACTGTGGCCTGTCCGATGGCAGCTGGCTGCTGTATCACCAAGCACCATTTTCTTTGTTGTGAACATGACTCACCTACGCATTATCGCTCGAGCAGAGCTCTGTATAAAATAAGAATGTTGATGTGCTCCATTGGCTAGAAGACCGATCTTCACCAAAGCACCAGGTTGTGGGTATGTATGACTGCTACTGTGGTCGTTCTACTATCGCCATGATTTATAGAGCAACCCAGCCGCTCACCGATTGGCCACCTTGACACAGCATAGCGCCATCTTTTGTGCCGATAGAATGCATTTTATCTCTTTGGCAATAACATCTTAGCACTAACAGAGAACTGGAGAATGGATTTGGAAATCAGACATCTGATCAGAGATCAGTGGACGTTTGGGAACCGATCATCATGTGAGATTATCTCTGAAAGCCTGTGAAAGGCTTAATAAATATCCATGGTGAGAGAGCTACGGCGCCGAACTGCGCACTAACCGGGGTGACCTCCTCAGGCTGGGAAGTTCCGGTGCTAATTTGTTAAAAAAAAAAGGAGCCATCAGGGAATCAACGTCGAACAGATGGCGAACAGTTCATAAACAAGAACTTCGAGGCAGTGGGCATGTTCACTTCATTGCCAGTATTACTGCCGCATCTGTGTGATATTCTCAGACTAAATGGCTTGCCCTGCCTCAGCAAGCTGCAGTCGGCATATTCACCCCATTGCCAGTATTACTGCTGCATCTGTGTGATACTCTCAGACTAAATGGCTTGCCCTGCCTCAGCAAGACGCAGTGAGCATGTTCACTCCATTGCCAGTACTACTGCTGCATCTGTTTGATATCCTCACACTAAATGGCTTGCCCTGCCTCAGCAAGCCTTGGTCACATAGAGAGCACCGATCATGAAAATTTCCAATGCTCATCTCAAGCCCCTCGGCTCTGCATCCACATCATGCGCCTATTACCTCAAATCCAAATGTGGGTGTGAAATTTGCCATTCCACCTGAGCCTTGAGTGATGGGGCACCGCCCATCAAAGGATAAATCGCATTGTCACCCGGTGGGAGCAGGAGCATTGCATCGCTGCGGGTCTGCGATATCCGCGAAGGGGGATCTGAAGGAAGAGGACGACTCGGAGGAAGATGAGAGGAGGAACTTTCTTCATCCCAGTCCAGTTCACTTCAAGGAACGTGGCTGCTTTAGGATTTACACTTCTGAACTGGAGGGATGGGGGGCGAACGATCTCGTAGTCGGATCCTCCTCTGAGTCGGGCTTAACGGTTGCCAAGAAGGGGAACAATAGCCGAGAACGGCACAACGTAACGGGGGGTAATATGTCAGCAAAGGCGAAAGATCAAATTGTTCAATCGTCAAACCTCGTTATGGGAAGCATCGTAGACACTAGGTTGAATCGCCTCAATGGAACATCACATGGTGGTTATGAGCCCGCCTCAAGGTGTGAGTTGTCATCCAGGATCGAGGACGTGTCCTCGACTGGCGACACAACACTTACCATTCAACGACACAAAGAAGGGGTTCCAAATGAAGCGAACACCAAGCATGAGACAGAAGCAACTCCTAAATTGAGTGGAGAAGTGGCGGAGGCTGCAGAATTGACAGCCGCCATATCAAAGAGTCTCAGAGCAATCTCACCTCGCTTGTCCACAGAACCACCTGGTGCAAAAGTTCTCGATTCCAATGGTGTTAGTGGGAGTTCTGGTACCCAGAGCATTATGCGTGGCAGTCCCACAGCTGGGACACACTCTGCGTACAACAGGGAAACATCAATGCTGCCACCAGGATCACTATCACCAGGGGAAGCTGCCCCTAAGCAGGATTTAACATCGCGCCCCCAGGCTGCACGACCAGCAAGAAGGCCTTTGCCAGCAGAGCATCACCATGATCAGGCCTGCAGACTCTGCACTTATCATGGGTTACCTGTGGGCGGAGGCCTGAGCTGTCCCAACACAAGTGCTGCATTACGAGGGTTCACACCAGGACATCCCTCAGTTTGCAATGATAAGGGCGTGAGCTGTCCCCACACAAGTGTTCTGTTAGGAAGGTTCGAACCAGGACATCCCTCAGTTTGCAATGATGAGGGTGTGAGCAGTCCCCTCGCAAGTGCTGCACTAGGAGTGTTCGAACCAGGACATCCCGCAGGTTGCAATGATAAGGGTGTGAGCTGTCCCCACACAGGTGCTGCATTAGGAGGGTTCGAACCCGGACATCCCTCAGTTGATGATAAGAACGTACAATATCACAGTGGCAAGAAACCTTATCAACCTCATCACAATGATTGCTCAGGTCATAGCGAGGGACAGATAGGGGCAAGGACCGAGGTGAGGAGGGGTACTCGGAAAGACAAAGACACAACCTTCATGGGAAGAAATGACTCATCCGAGCCTAGTAACCAATACGTGTGTGCAAGATTCCTCCTGGATCGCTTCAAAGCGGTTTGTGCCGAGTCTGCTGTCGGTACTGAAAGCCTTCCGAGAACAGGGTCAAAAGCTGGAGGGGCATCGCAGTGCCAGTCACCTCCCGCAGCTGCAAGCTGTAAAGATGAAACACTCGGTCACAGGCTATGCTCACCTGAACACTTTCATCGAGTAGGAGATGGTCCTAGACACAGCATAAAGGTTCCAAACTCTACTGTTTGCAGCATCGATGGCAACACAAAAAATAGGGCACCTTTGGGGATCGGGTCTGACACATCTTCTGGGTATGGCTGCTCCCTTGATGCAAGACTGAAACTGCCACAAGTTTCGAGTCCCAGCTTTCAGTCCATTCCCACTGCAGTTCCAGTGCCACAAGGTTGTGACTTAGGGATTGCTAGAGCTGGCAATTATCCCATGCCAGTGCCAACAGCAGACACGAACTTGATTGCAGGCTGCAGTTTCAGTCCTGTGCGGCCAGCTACAAGCACCCAAGAAGAGTCCGAGCGTTTGTCAGCAATTGAGCTTCTCCGCGACCTTCCTGATGATGTTCGAAACACGCGAGTGACCGAGGAGATGAAGCGCTTGGCATTACAGATAGTTCTTACATCCCGTAACCATCGTCCCACCAGGGTATTATTTGTACATGGTGATACCAGAAAGGGCAACTTCAAGCGAGAAGACAATCATAATTCTGTTTCACAAAATCCAGCAGCTCACTACACATGGATGAAATCAAGCTTGTACTCGTCGCACGTTTGCAAAGCTGGCGGTGATAAACAAGCAGAACCTCGCGGTGGCCGAGTTGTGGAAGCACTCTGTCAGCTTGAGACCAACAGGAGGTTCTCCCAGGCTGCTGACCAAGCAGGAGAGAGACTTGGTACTGCGAACGTGACTGAGCTTCCGGGTCATTCCATGAGACTGATTAATGGTCAAACCACAACAGATGAAAAAAGTGGCACAAACTTTGGAAAATGTTGCCGAAATTCTGCTCATGCAAACATAAGATGCAACTTGAAAGCAAGAGACACCGAAGCTTCAAGTGGTGACTCGACTGCACATCACCAGGGCATGGTGCGTGCAGATTGTTTGCAATCATGTTCAGGTGAGAGATCGCAGCAACCCCAAGGCCTTTCCAAATCTGGACTTCCATCTTCTCCTAAATCTGAACGATTACCTCCTGCTTCGGATGATGGAGGACAACCACAGTCACCTGAACAAGCTGCACAGAAAGGGCCGCTGCTGCTGCCGCATCGTCTTCGGCTGCAGCACATGATTGACGACTTTCTAACACATTCACAAACATTCGTTCATCTTGCACGGAAAGACTGTGAAGGTGTTGTAGGAGCTCGTGGGGGGATTTTCGTTACAGGCAATGAAGGATTCAACCGTCCTCAGGAAAGATGTCAGAGTTCTCCTAGACACCATCATAATCGCAGTGAGAGAGGGTTTCTGCACCCATATGTAGATTATCATGACAATATGGACAGCGATACAATCTGTTTTCCGTTTCGGGAAGTGCCTTTCAGTGAATCAGAAATGTGGGCAGTCAAGGATTGTTGGGATAGCCGCAGTGCATCTCGTATCACGCACGCGAGCAAATGGATGGAAGGTTATGGTCACGGTACAGCTGAGCAAGATCGGCATCATGTCAATTGCTGCAGAGCTGAGAGAGATCAGCATAGTCTGGATGAACACTGCTTAGCTAGGAATGATGGTGATAAGGTTGGGAGTGACTGCGGTTCAGGGAATCGGGGAAGCATGGCAAGGACGGCGAGACAACCCGAAAATTGCAAAAGTTGTTTTCAGAGCAATGGACGGGTGCAAAAGGAGCAGCTGAGTACGAAAGAGTGCGACGACTGTGTCGACACCTCGTCAACTACGAGTCAAAGTCAAAGCCAAAGCAAAAGTCAGAGGCAAATTCACAGTAATCCGGATCACCGATGCAACGAGTTTCAGGAACTGGAAACCAAAAGAGTGTTCCTTTCACAGTCAGTAGGTTCTCCAGGAGCAAATCCCAGACTCAGTGAACCTCTTCCTGGAGCATTTTGCCATGGCGAAAGGGGGCGACTTGATGAGCAGTCGCTGTTTTATCCTCATCATGGCAGAAGCGGTGGAGGGGGGTCCAAAGAAGTGCAGATGCTACACCAGAGCATTGCCAAGTACAACTGTCGTAATGCGCACTGGTACAAGCAGAGAAATGCTGGTCGGGGGGGAATGAGAGGAAGGCAGCACCGGAGCCATGGACCATACATTGGTAGCCGGCTGCTTTCTGGGCAAGCAATGGACATTGATGTAAAGCGTGAGAGAGGGGCATGCATAACACTTGCAGAAGGTAGGTAAGTTCCTTCCAGAGACACCTGTCCATACCTTGTGTATCTTGTGGGAACTTAACCAGATTGTGCTCCAATTTTTTCGTTTTTTTTTCACAAAACACATGCCCCTTCTCTTCTGGCGGCCCTCGGTTCGGTTGCTTATCACCGGCAAATATGTTTTTACAACTAAAGAAAGGAGGGAGAATCAGACAGGACAGAGGGTCAGCCTATCCCCTGTGGCACTAGTCACCAGGCAAGGGGGGGACTGCTTCGGGGCCGCCCTCCCCCCCAAACCTGGCCTTTCGGAGGGTTGCCCTGCTGACTGGGAGGCTTACTGGCAGCACTCAGTCATGCAGCAGGGCAGCCTTCCCGAAGGCGAGGGGGGGAGGGGCGCACCCCTAACAGTTCCTCAGGCCACTTGGCATACTGTTCCTAGTCTAATCCAACCTCATTCATTGTCTTTGCATTACCAATGCCTGTATCTCATGTTTGGTTCCAACGGATTCCATACCAGTCCCATACCAGCCACTGCCTACCACCATTTCACCTTGTTCACACTCTGTCCTCATACGTTACTTGCCTTGTACCCCTATGATTTCCTATACCAAATCTGGGAATCGACCCACAAATGATCCATACCCCAGCACTTACATTACCCCGTCACTAGTCCGCCTAACTGTTGGTGATTTTGTTTTTAGTTTTATAAATTGTTTCATGTTTCCCGTCCTTCCCCTCCCTACCCCCATCACCCCATTCCCCTGTGTTTCCTCGCCGCCCCTACTCCCCCTTATCCCCGTAGATCAATTTTCCCCTTCTACATCCTAACCTACCTCCTCCCTCCCTCCTGTTACTACCCTAGCCAGTATGATACGTCACACCATCTCTTTATGTCCCAAGGCATCCACCTTACCCATCTAACTATTATACAAACTAGCTAAGCGCTCGCGGTGCGGGCGGTGCGGGCCATGCCCGCAGAAATAAGAAATGTTGTAGCCAACCTGACACGGACCATTCGCATAAACTGAGACAGAATTAGAAAAAAAAAAAAAGAATCACAGGGCAATAAAGAATAGCCTAAGACAGGCTACGAGGTCTGAGTTTAATTCACGTGCAAGGAATATGAGTGGGAACGATGTACAGAAAACCAAGTTGCGAAATCAAACAGATGTCCAGGTAGTCGTGTATAAGCAGCGAGCACAAATGCAACGAGATCCCATCCAAATAAGAGCAATACAATGAAGTAATGAGCCAATGTTCAAGCCCTCAGGCCACACCAACACAGTATCCAAAGTCGCTCCTCTCTGTCTGGCGCCCAGCGCCCAGGCTACACTACCTGACTATCCTACCTACATCAGCATTCTCGCAACAGGCTCACTTCGACTCTCGAAGACCAATGTACATGACGTCAACACCATAGCTGACCTCTTACATGTACCAGGTATGTATCTCGCTTCCCCTCATCAGACCCTGTCCACCCACACTCTCCTCCTTCCTGAAAACCACCAATCGCCCTCTTACCCCCTAGCGCCCTGTAGCGCCCCACTTCACCACACGCGCCCGCACGCGCTCTGGCCTCAACGCAGCAGCGCAGCAGCGTGACCGCATTACCTGTGCGTGCCAGAATGCCCAGGCCCTGGCTGCTCTCCTTTCTATATGGAAGTGGCAGCCCCTGCGTTGCTGCGTGTGGCCTGGCTGGAAGCTTCCAGTAGCTTCCTGTTGGGCCCCAGTTCCTGAGCCCAGGCCCGAGACTACAGTTGAGGGCCTGGGCCTTTTACAGTTGGGCACGGCCTGAGTATCCAGACTTAGGCCGTTTGCTGCATTTGCACAGCCCCCCGGGGTAGGTACGTCGACAGTACTGCTTTTGCATAGGCCTGTGGCCACTTCATGATGTATCTGCCCTGCTTTGTGTGTATGTGCCCAGGCGCAACTGCCAAGGCCTGGGCCAACAGTACGACGCAGCTTAGGGAGGCTCCCACATACGAAAAAATGTTGAATTTTGGCCTCTGATGAATATTCGGCCCCACCTTCACTTAGGGCGGGCACTCTGCTTGCTGGGGCCCTCTGCCCAGAGCATGTGTATGTCTGATAGGGGGCCCATGAGGACTCGTTCCTCGCATTCCATCCCCCTTAGCTTCGAAAGTCCGCTGAGATGCTTCATGCTGGTCCCTTCACCTTCAATTTCCTTTCATACTCGGCCACGATCTGAGGAGCTGTCTTGACCAGTTCCTCTCTTGTAAACCATCGATCTTCCTTAGGGTCCGTATGATGCCTGAACTGTACTCTGTATTCTCTCACCAGTTTAGGCGGCCTACCCTGCCAGCTGGCTTGGGAACAGGCATGTCTCTCAGCTCCGAGATATCGTCGACGTCCACGTGGCCATCCATGGTTGGGGCCAGCACAGATCTCAGTGATGGGAACTGTTCTGTCAGCGAAAGGTGCGAGCTTTGAGGTGTGAAACACAGGGTAAGTGCGTAGGTGACCAGGGATACAAATCACGTACGAGAGACCATCCAAATCATTACCCACAATGTCTAAGACTTCCCAGGGACCGAAATACTGAGGCATTAGTTTTCTAGAGATGCCAAACTCCTGTCCCAACTCACTAGCCTTTACCTAGACATGTTCCCCTACCTGAAATGTGGATTGTCAACGATGCTTGTGCTCAAAAGCAATCATGGCTTCCTGAGATTTCTTGATGTGTTCGACAGTCTGCTGCAACTATTTCTCATAATGGACACCAAATTCAATTGTTCCAGGAGTTGCAGCAGTTCGGTTTTCAGGCAGGAGGAAGTCTAGAGCAGATCTCGGCTTCCATCCCAGATGCAGTTGATTAGGACTGGCGCAGGTGGTGCTGTGCACAGCATTGTTGTACAGGCTGACGATGAGAGGAAGTTTCTCATACCAGTCATATTGCTTGGGCTTGATGTAGTGCCTCAGCAGATGCTGCACCACTCAGTTCATCTGTTCAGCCTGCCCATTCCCAGAAGTCATCTGCAGCTGGCTGCCCATCTGTTCAACGGCTTTCTTCCACATCTCGCTGCTAAACCGGACATCTCTATTACTCACGATCAGAGAGCGCAAACGGGTAACCGTTACCCGTACCAGGCTGTAACCGCCACGTTACGGGTGGGTATGGGTACCCCTTCCAAAGGGGGAGTTGGGTATGGGCAGACACAAACAAAAGGTGGTGGTTGTTAGGGCGGGCACAGTTGCCCCTTTTGGAGATCATAGGTGGGTAAGGGCAGATAGGGGTAGGGGTAAAAAAAAAAAAAAACGGGTATGGGCGGCCAGAAAAAAAAATAGACGGGTATGGGCAGGTACGGGTGGCCAAAAAACAAAACGGGTGGGTACGGGCGGGCAGAGTTTCCGATCGGGTAACCGTGCTATACCCGATGTGAGTCTTGTGCAAGGAAGATGAGCATTAGCGAACTCCAGCAATCAAACAGCATCATACATACGAGTCCAGATAGTCTTGACCTCGAACCAAGAACAGAAATGCATCACGAGATTCACCAAATAAGAACACACCAATAGTTCGTAATTGACAATGCTGAAATAGTCTCTCATCATCATCAACGAAGAACAAGAGTTGATATCCTATTGGCGCTCGGCGCCCAGACTACATGTGGCAGATCCTATCTAGCCTAATACTACAATGTCAATGTTGACATCAACATCTTCCTGAGGTACGAGCATACAGTGGGCAATGCCGCACGCTTCCAGCACCAGGTATGTCTCTCGCAACACTCACAACCCCGATCCACACCACACAGATGCCACTAGCACCCAAGGACCACCCTGCGCCGCACCCAGCTTACAGCGGAGCAGCTCGGCTATGGCTGCCCGCTCCTTCCTGCTCGCCCGTGAGAGCGTGAGTGCCAGCCAGCAATAGCGCAGTAGCGCTCGCGCAGCATGCAGCCAGCACCCGAATGCCGAATGAGGAGGCAAGCCCTTCCCTATATTGAAGTGGCCTGCCTACGTCCAGTCCAAGAAGCTTCCAGTAGGCCCCAGTAGGCACAGGCCCATACCTCACACGCAGGCCCAGGGCCTGATGGTTGCATGTGCCCAACTGCCCTTGGCCTGCTCACAGCCTTTCCTTCGCATCTGGCCCAGGTCACCATTCAGATACATTTGCAAAATATGGCCTGGGCCTGGGCGCCTTCAACCAACTGGCGCAGCGCAACTGTCTGAATTTCACCAGTTGCRGGGTACCCTGAAAATCGAGGCCCTGAGGGCCTGTCGCGCCTGCCTTCACTTAGGGCGGCCGACATGCTGCAAAAAGGGCCCCGAAGGGGCTGAGCGGGCGTAGCCTCGCACTTGTAGCTTTGCAGGCTTTGTATTTTTGCTCAAGCGTGATGCTTTTCTCATATGCCAAATTTATTGCTTTCCCATGACGCAAACGTTTTTTCTCGCAAGGGTGAATTTTATATCTCTTCATTTTTTTATTTTTTGTTTTTCAAAATTTCAGACTTTTTTCATACGTGTGTAACCTTGTGTATATAATATTCATGTGTGTGTGTGTGTGTGTGTGAGAGAGAGAGTGTGTATGTGTGTGCGACAGACCGAGGGTTGTTGTATTTGCAGATGCTATACAGGTTGCATAGGCTGTTGTAGCACCAGATGCATCCATAGCAGCATCAGAGTGACGRGATGTAACAAATGTTGCTTTTGGGGCAGTAGCTGCAGCAGCTGCCACATCTCGAAAAAAAATAAAATAACATAATAATATTAATAATAAAAACTACCACGTCAATCCTGTGACGTATAGGGGTTGGGAATAGTTGGGGGCGGTTAAGGACAATTAGGGGCGGTTAGGGAGGGTTAAAAAAAAAAACAAAACGTTAGGGGCGGTTAGGAACAGTTAGGGACAGCTAGGGGCGGTTAGGGACAGTTAAGGACAGTTAGGGGCGATTAGGGACAGTTAGGGGCAGTTAAGGACAGTTAGGGGCAGTTATGGGCAGTTAGAGGAGGGTGGACAACGAGCACGGGTGGTTATGGGTGGGTGCATACAATTATGGGTAGGTACAGGTGGGTGGTAGGGTAGGGTATGGGTGGTTAGCAAACGGTTTGGGTTCAGGTGGCCATGGGTGGTTTTGAAAAAAATTGTTCATGAGTAGGTATGGTCAGTTACATGTTGAAGAGGTTCAGGTAGGGTAGGTCTGGGTATAGTTTTTTTTTTTTTTTTTTAACAGGTGGAGATGGGTACAGCTCCGACAGACCAGGTATACAGTGGGTATGGGTGGYTGGTTTTCAAAGAGGGTGTGGTTAGGTCAGGTACAGGTACTCCTAAAAATCCCAGTTGCGAACTCCGCTCACGATGGCCTTTGGTAGCCCAAAGTCACGCACCCAGTTGTCCATGAACAACTTGATGACGTGCTCAGTCCTGGTAGTCTCTGGCATGGCGATTAGTCTAGCGTACTTAGTGAACCTATCCACTATGACGAAGATATGCCTTTTGTTGTTCTTGCTGGTCACGAGCGTATCCATGAGAATCATGGAAACACTCTGTCCTGGACCAGCAGGAATGGGTAGGGGCTTCAATAACCCAAGCGGGCCTTGAGTCCGCGGCTTGTCCCGCTGACAGACTTGGCAAGTCTGCACGTAAGTCTTTGCATCGTCAAGCATGTTAGGCCACCAAAAGCGTTGTACTAAATTAGCAGAAGTCTTCTTGTAGCCGAAATGACCTGTCGCGTCATGGCACTCACCTAAAAATAAACTACGTAAAATTTCTCTAGATGGAACCACTAACCTTTTAAATCCTGCCTTCTCAAGAAAGAGCAACCCATCCACCATCACAAACTCGTCAGATGTGGCCTTGTCCTGGGCCTCGAGTTTGCCAATGATGTCCATCGTGACAGGGTCTTCCTTGTAGGCTTCCACCAAGGATCGAGTGACATTGTCAAATAAGCCAAACTTAGTAATCAACGGACCTAGGTAGTCTGCCCTACAGGACAATGCATCTTCAACCTTTTTATACTCTCCTTTCATGTAGTCTAGCTTGAAGTCATACTGGTCTATGACTTCAATCCAGCTTTGAGTGTGTAAGAGAGAATAGGTTGTGTCTTGATCCACTTGAGTGTCTGATGGTTAGTTCTCAAATAGAAGAACTGTCCCAACAGATAGTGCCTCCAGTGGACAAGTGCCTTGTAGAGGGCGTAGAGTTCATTTTCATAGGAGGACTTCGCCAATTTCTTAGATGGCATCTTCTTGCTCATGTACTCGATCGGCCTTAACTTTTTCCCTTCCGGTTGAGCCAAGATTGCGCCTATTTCATACTGGCTTGGGTCAGTGGTCACTACGAAAGGCGTTTGAGGACCGGGAACCATGGCAACCTCATGATGGGTGAGGGCATGCGTCAATCTCTTGAAAGTAGCCTCACATGCGCCTATCCATTCCATGGCGTGTCAAGGCGCATTAGATCAGTCAAAGGAGATGCGATCGTACTGTAGTTTTGTACAAAATTGCGGTAATAACCACACATCCCCAAGAAAGATTTGACCTCAGTCACAGACTGGGGTCGTGACCAGTCCCTAATGCTAGCCACCTTCGCATCTTCAGGCCTAATACCTTCAGTGGATATTTTATGACCCAAGTACAAGATTTTAGTGGGACCAAATTCACATTTCTCTAAATTGATATTATTGTTACGATCCTGGCCAATTTCGAGGTATAGATTCATCAGAAAGTACAATGCCATCCAATTGCAAAAGAAATGAATGAACTTGAGAGGAGAGAGAGGGAAAGAAGAAGAAGAAGAATTAAGAAAGAAGAAGAAGATGATGTACTCCAGCATAGACCAATGGCAAGGCTCTTCTTCTTCGCCAACCAATCTCCTCCTCCTTATCTCCTCCCCTCTTATTCAAACAAGAAATAATAATAATAATGTTGAATGGTTGAACCGGAATCAATGTCCGAATCACACTTCTATTGCAGGTACAACATGAGGTCCACCATAGCCATGGCGACTCTTCTTGCAGACTGAGGCTATGGCGGACTACCGAGGCTTCAGCCTCTTGTCCAAAGGACAACCCAAAGCAGCTATGTCGCTGCCGCTGCTCACTGAACCGCCATGCCTGACTCTCCCCGAGCTTCCTTGGTGCGGCACTACCCCAACAGGGGCCTTCCAGATGAAGCGCCTGACAAGGTCATGAAGATGGTGCCCACAAAAGCCAGGTACGTACCTCGCCACTCTCCCCCTTGGTCCCCTTCTCCCTCCTCCTCCTACCGGCCGAGCTCCACCATAGCCGAGGTGGAAGCTCCCGGCTTCTTCCTCCCAGCAGCACTGTAGCAGCCAGCGCTCTTCCAACCGGCGCTCCAACAGCGTGACGCCCAACTTGCACACTGAAGAATGAGGCCGAGCTCTTCCCTCGGCCTCTTGATATAGTGGCCTCCTTGCCTCCTAGGCGGTGACTTCCATGCCGCTCGGCCTCCCAAGCAACCGGTACCTCCTCCCTTTCGGAGGGAAACATCATTGCAGACTCTGATATTGCCCGCACAGGCTCTAGACTCAGACTGGATGGACTGGTACTGGCCTAGGCCTAGCCTACCGCTACTGGGCCTCTAAAAATGCCAACTTTGTCTTCTTCTGCTCGGCCTCGAGTACCCGACACATCTACTGCTATTGGGTGCGGTACCGGCCTACCTGCTACTTGAATGTTTTTCCGCTGCTCTAAGCACCACGGGCCCCTGGCTCCGCTACTTGAGTGTTTTCCCTGCGGCAACCCTCAATGCCACAGCCACAGGTAAGTACCGGCCCTACGGGCCTTCCAAACAAGCAAGTACCCTTGCAGGTCACACACACACTCATGCCGGCAAGCACTCAGACAGGCACGCAAGTCAACAGGCACACACACATACAGACTTAGAAAACACAGCAAAATGCGGGAATCTAAGCAAGGCATCCATTCCATCGGCAGAACTTCAGAAATCAGCAGTGTTCTCAGTCTGTGTTATGGCGGATCATTACACTACCCCCCCCTCAAGAGCGAGGTCCCTTCGAGCGAGTAACTCAATCAGAGTCCTCGCATAATGCATCATAAGTGTAAATAGCAAAGAGAGATCGGGTATGTTCCGTAGGCGTGAGGGTAGCAGTGAATTTAGGCTGCTGTTCAGAACTAATCAATCGCTCATATGCGTTGACGACTCACGGGGCACTCTGCAGCAAGTCTTTCTTAGCAAATCCACTGTGCTCGACAATTCTATCAACCTCGTGACCGCCATTGATTGCATGGGGAATCATTGATTCTCGATACGGAAAAGTTTCAGGTGGTGGATACAAAAACAACTTTGACGCATGAAAGGCTGGGTACGTGCGCAGATGAGTAGGCACGTCGATCGTGTAAGAAGGACCAAAGGAGTCATCTCCTACTTGGTTCAGTACCTTCCACTGACTGTAGTATTGAGGAAGAAGCTTTCGTGATACACCTTCTTCTTCAGAAAACTCAGACATCTTAACCCAGACATAACTTCCCATTGTGAAAGGGTCAGGCTGACGCTTTTTGTTTGCATGCTTAATCATGGCACTGCGTCACCTTTCCATAGTTGCGACAACAACTTTGAGCAAACGATCACACTTAGCGTTCTAGCCTGGCTGGCCAGGTGCCAGGCCAGGTAGCTGTTCAGGAAACAGATAGGATATAGGATTGCGAATTTTCCACCCCAGGTGCAGCTGGTTAGGTGTCATCCTGGTGGAGGAGTGTATGGAATTGTTGTACAACCCATGCACAATCGGCAACTCCTGATCCCAAGAGTTCTGATCAGGCACAATTAGAGCTCGTAGAAGTTGGATCACAGTCTGGTTGATCTCCTCGGCCAGCCCATTGGCTTCGGGATGTTGACCAGATGTCATCTTGAGTTTGATGTCATAGATCTGGGAGGTGAAGTCCTTCCAATCTGCACTTATGAACCTAGTGTCCCGGTCACTCACGAGAGTTTTCGGGGGTCCACACTGCAGAATGTACTTCTTATGAAACTCTTTGATCACAAGGTCAGTTGGGGCGTGAGGTGGTAATGCAATCAGATTCAGAAATTTTAAAAAGCGGTCAACGCTCACCATTACTTGCGAATATCCATTCCTACTCTTCTTCCCCATGTCCGTGAAGTCGATGGAAAGAGACTCACCCGGGCCATCAGGAATAGGAAGAGGATGCAGTAGCCTATAGGGCTTTTGCCGAGACGGTTTGATGCATTGACAAACTTCACACTTAGCCACAAACTTTCGTGTCATTCCTTTCATTCCAGGCCATACAAACGTTTGCGGCAGACTTCCGTATGTTTTCTCAAAACCAAAGTGTCCACTCCGGCCATGAGCCAAGTCCAAGAAGTGAGTAAGGATCAGCTCATGGTTGGGTACACACAGTAGGTCGTGCTTCCCGTATCGTCGAAAAAGTAAGCCCTTACACTCATGGAAATCAGGCTGACTATTGGGGCCAGCCCGAATCTGCTCAAGGATGGGACTGAGTTTCGGGTCCTTGGCAGTATGCTCAATAAGTTCCTCCTTCTAATTCTTACGGAGATCTTAGGAACCCACAAGACAAGTCATGTACTCAGGGTGGCAAGACAAAGCATCCGCAACGCGATTGTAACAACCTTTCTTATGCCTAAGTTCGAAATCATACACAACAATCTCATGCAGCCAGCGGGTCAGTGTAGTTGAGGGAACGGTCTGTGTCTGAATCCATTTCAAGGTCTCGTGATATGAGAACACTTTGAAATGGCGACCCAAGAGATAATGCTTCCAATGATCTAGCGCCTCTCTCAAGGCATAGAGCTTTCGCATGTAAGTGGAGGCAGCTACCTTGTGACTGGGCATACGTTTGCTGTAGAATTCGAGCGGACATAAGTCGTCGCCATCATCTTGCTGCAGCACTGCACCAATCCCATACAAACTGGCATCTGTAGTTACTACGAATGTAAGTTTGGGATCTGCAATGCGGAGCACCGGATGACTCGCCAAAGCCTCCTTCAATGCTTGGAGGGCTGTTGTACATTCCTCATTCCATGTGTAGGATACATTCTTGCTTGTCAATCTGGACAGCGGTCGGGCAATGATAGAGAAGTTGGGTACAAACTTACGGTAGTATGACGCGAGACCAAGAAAAGAACGCAATTCGCGGACATTCACTGGTTGAGGCCATTTGCGGATGGCATAAACTTTGGTTGCCTTAGGCTCTAGGCCCGCAGCAGACAACCGATATCCAAGGTAGATGACGCTGTCCCTCCCAAACTCAGATTTCTCCAAGTTGAGATGGAGTTGTGAATCCTTGAGGATCTGCAACACTTCCTCAAGATGTCTCATGTGCTCCTCCATCGACTTGTTGAAGATCAATATGTCATCCAAATACACAACAACAAATCGGTTGATCTGATTGCGGAACACCTTGTCCATGAGACTTTGAAAGGTGGCCGGTGCATTCGTGAGACCAAAGGGCATGACAATGAACTCGTACAACCCATCGCGGGTTTTGAATGCAGTTTTGTGCTGGTCTGCAGGGTCGACTTCAATCTGGTGGTAGCCAAACTTGAGATCGATCTTGCTGAAGACCTTGCACCCACCTGCAGCATCAAGCAGATCATCAATACGTGGCAAAGGATACGCATTCTTTCTTGTTATTCTATTCAGTCCGCGGTAATCGATACACATCCGTAGTGTGCCTCCTTTCTTCGGGACAAACAGAACCACTGCACCGAATTCGGATTCGCTTGGCTTGATCCATCCCTTCCCAATCATGTCATCGATCTGTCTTCACAACTCCTCCAATTCGCCTGAGCCCATTCGATAGACACAACCTTTTGGAGGAGTGCTACCTTCTATCAACTCGATATTGTGTCGGACCGGACGCACGGGAACTCCATGCGGTTCGCCCAGGACTTCAGAAAATCGGTCGAGAAGGTTGCGGATTTCTAATGGGACTTCCGGAGGTGGATCATCACTTTCAGGCGCAAGCATACCGGATTGCATACGTTCAACCAAAACAACAGAATTGGAAGTAGAGTCGTTTGGACTAGAAGTAGATTTAGTAGAGGTAGAAGTAGTTGCATTAGAGGTAGAAACGGCATGCAAAGTAGAATCATTATGTACAGCAAAAATAAACGGCACATGAGCAGGTCTAACAAAGGCTATATACATTTGCTTATCAACTTTGTGCTTGCGCCACTTTTTGCGGAATTGCATTGCATTGAGAAAAGTTACTTGGGACTCGTGCGGCTCATCCAAGAGGACTGGACGCTCGGTTCCCATGGCATCTTTGACCATGAACTGTGAGTCCTTCCACGTGGTTCTTTCACATTGGGTCTGTAACCTGCCCAAGCCAATAACCGCGTCGAAGGGGCACTGGTCAAGGACATAGAAATTCAATTCATGCGTGATTGTGCGGTCTGCGTCAAAGGTAGTGCACAAACTTTTGACCGCATGCGTAGATGTGATAACCTCTTGGTAAACCACTTGGGTCCGACAAGGATTTTGCAAAGTCATTTGCTTCATTCCCAAGCGTGCCTTATGAATGTCGTGCGGTGAGAAGTAGTTAGCGGTTGCGCTACAATCATCCAATGCATGGATGTAACGACCATTAATGGGGAGTTGGAAGAAGAACAACTTCGTTTTCCCTTGCGCGCGCTCTTGCTTCATGTGAGCCCAGCACGACAAGAGAGAATGAGAGTCATTTTCTTCCAACTCCACCCAAGGCTCCTTGTATAGGATGTGTACTTTCTTAGCCTTGGAATCAGCATCGGATGGGGTCTCAAGAGAGGTTTGCCGAGTGGGATCAGAATCCAATGAAGGATCTGCACTTACTTGTTCAGCCTCTCTGTCTGTAGAGCGTGTTGATGATATCTCTACCCCCGTTGCTAGTTTCCCTGCTGCAATCTGAAACAATGTTGAGCTGAGTGTCCCGGTTTGGTGCAATGCAGGCAAACTCCTTTCTTCACCCTATGTTTCCACTCACTTTCACTTATCCGGTGATCTACCCGTGGTTTTGTGGCAGGATCTTCCGGTTTGGGTGGAATCTTCGCTCCCTTGGGAAAAAGAATGGTGTTAGTGTTGTTCTTCATTATGGTCCTGGGTCCCTTACTTTTGAAGGAAGTCTTCTTGAAGGCATTCATGGATTCTTCGTCATTTACATAGACTCATGAGTTGATGAAGACCAAGATGCCTCGCAGGCTTGCTCTTGATCGTCATCAAGAGAAGGATCCTTTTTGAACGTCTCCTCGTCATCCTCAAGTAGATCGTGTGCTGAAAAACGGTTGCTGCCTGGAAACCGTTTGCGGTCGGTGACCTTTTTGCCACCCGATCCACCCGGGAGGTCTTGTGCCTCCAGGTTGACTAAGTCCCGCATGAGGGTAAGCCAATCTGTATATGCTATGAGTCTGATTCCCAGGCAATGTGTTATAGTAGCGGGGACCGTACCTTTAATCACATCCAAGCAAGACTGCGCAGTCATCTCTAGATCCGGAGTAGCAAAGAGTTTACTAACATACTGCTGCAGGTTATGCATGTTGTCGGTCCACTTGTTGTGCTTGAGTTTGTCAAGCTTAAGTCTATAGCCTGACTGTACAGCTTGGACTTCTAAGAAGCCCCTTACGGCGGGTTCCACATTGGTCCCTAGGACCGACGACTGAGTCACTGGGGGTGTCCCCTGCACATCAAAGTAGGATCGCATGGAGCTGATCCAAGATTCAATGTCGTCTTTTCCGTCATACTTAGACGAAATCTGTGTCGCTTTTCTGTCCACATAGGGAAAACTGCAACTAGAACCAGCGATTGCTGGGTCCGAATTCGGGGCCGCAACAGTTCCAGAATGCCCTGCACTGCCACTTGCCACTGCAGCAGCAACAACAAAAGCAACAACGGGGTAGGCTGCTGGCCATACTCAAAGAAGAGGAAGAAGAAGAAAAAGACGTGGTTAGAGGGGCAAGAACGGACTGACACGCAGCACTAGAAGCAGGGTAAGCAGGCGGAAGGACATTTTGGGCCGGCTGCAAGTTAGCAAACTGTTGCAGCTAGTCACGGTGCTGCTGCGCCATTCGGGCCATATCCTCACGCAACTTCTTGAGTTCGTCAAACACCTTTGTGAGTTGGCCAGTACGGTCTTCAACAACCCGGACTTCTACTAAGGCCCTGAGGAGTAGAACAGTCTTCTCTTCTACCTCATCATCAGTTAAGGCGGGCACGATACTGAAGACGGCTTCATGAGCCTTTACTTTGTCTTCCATCTCCTTCTCCTTCTCTTCCTCTTCCCTCTTCAATGCTTTCTCATAAAAGAATTGGTACTCCGCTTTTTCTGCCTCAGGGGCAGCGTCCATTTGCAGCTTCCATTCTGCTACAGATGCCATGATGGAGGATGAAGGTGTCAATAAGTCTCTCAAGAGGGGTCCGTACTTCCCCACACTTCTAGGACGAACACTCCTCTTCCCTCTCCTCACTCCCTCAAGAGAAAGACTCAAAAGCTTCTCTCTTCTCTCTCTCTCTCTCTTTCTCTCTCTCTCTCTCTCTCTCTCTCTCTCTCTCTCTCTCTCTCTCTCTCTCTCTCTCTCTCTCTCTCTCTCTC